CTGAATATAGAAAATTTGAATGGAAATAGTAATAAATGAATATAATAGTAATAAATAAATTAACAATAATACGCATTGATACTAATGGAACACATAAATACTTTTAATGGTTTAGAAATAAAACAATTATTTTCATAGAGATTTAATTATATTATTGACAGATGATACACAGAAATAATAATATACATATGCTCAGTAGTATAATAAGTCTATGATGTGGGCACTCAATTTTAGATGATTATGGAGGCATCTTAAGACACACCATTTTCAGCAACACTAACACCCTAGACAATATCCGATTAAGTAAAACGAACTATAAAACGACTAATAAAGCACCATAAACTCAATATTTACTAGCTAGTACATAATACCACACTTATGTAGGTAGTTATTTTACGAAATATGAAATAATAAATCGACGTCAAACTCAAAGCATAGAAAGTTAAACAAAACGAACTCCATTCAATTCGGAAATTAAGACATTCCCGTTTATACTTGGTTTATACTAATATCTCTTAGTAAAATTTAAAAATTAAAATTGAACTTTGAAACTTTTTAATTTCTTTTTCATAACAGCCACAGATATATTTATATTTTCCGCTACAGAGCGGTGTATCACAGACTAATCATTTCAATCGGACATAAAAATAATCGGAACGAACGTAATTTATACTTTATAAATCATGTATTAAACAATTATTATGTGATCTTATATTACAAAATTTATAGTTTATAATTTATTAGATAAATAAAAATAATTTTAATGAGAAAATTGTAAAGATATTAAAATGCAAATATCAAAGTTCCTAAGCTGCAATTGAAATATAATGCGTAACATGGATCACTGCTTCCTTCTTAAATTCTGCCATCTATTGAGTATTTAATTAACTAATATTACACAAACTGAGGAAAATATGTCCCGTACCATACACTTGATGGCGTTACTTTCTATGCCCAAGTGCCTTATTATGGAACAGACCCCCCCCCCCCTGAATAAATATTATTTAAGAATGCTCTTTCTAATTCTTCAATATAATTATTAAACGGTTCTGGTGGGACTTTTAACCTACCATAAAAAGATGAATCTTTATTTTAAGCTTTGAAATTAGTATACAGTGTTGTTTCGTCAACATTAGAATTTTCCTGTAACAAGGTATAGATGTTATGTTTTTTTTTTTTTGCAAAAAAAAAAAGACAATTTTTCATTTGTTTCTTTTTTTTGACTTTTACACCCATCCACTGCACAATAATAACATATGGTTTTGGCATTTCTACAAGTAAGCTCAGGAACGTGCGCGGCGCTTGCACCGTGCTCAGGCGGGCGTGCGGCGGCCTTATGTCGGTTGTATCGTGGATGATACGCAGAGCGGTAGGCATATAACTAGGGTTGCCAAATGGTCGGGATTCGTCTGGATTCTCCAGACATTTTATATGATCTCCCGACTCCCGACAAAACTAAAAATCTCCTGACAATCAGCTCATCGAAAATTTCTATAGAAAATAATAATTTAAAATTGCCGCGCACTTTCACGTTCACTCCATTTTCGAACGGAACGTTGGCGTTGGACCTAGCTCCGGCCCACGGAGGCTGGCGGGTGGCGTGGCATGGAACGGTGGAACGTTGTAAGTTGTAACCCTGTGTTCGCCCGATTCGTAGGTTTACTTCTTCGCGCGCGCACTATTTCACAGCTTCTAATAGAAACGTAGGTAGGTATCAAGACGCAAGAATATTGGCTTAAGGTGTATCCCTGACCAAAATGTTGCGAAAGTGCGTTTTTCAGACTTTATTATCTCAATAGTTATGAAAAATAAACTACATCTAAAAGTACATTATTAATGTTCGATATCTTATCATCACATTCCATGTTCTAATTTATTTTTATGTGCCATAAATACATTTAAAATCAACTTTTAAAAAATGACTAAAATTCTTGATTACATGCATCTGTTGCTAAACGCTATAACACTCTAATCATTTGAGGATTACACTAATGGATAGATAATTTAAAAATCTATATTCTCCACGTTTTATTTAAATTTTTAAGTTCGTTTTTCTTTTTTAATTGAAATAATTCCGAAAATTGTGTGAATTCTATGATAAAGGGGCGTGCGCAGAGTGCGGGCGGCATTACGCTGTATGCGTACGTACGAGGTAGCTGTGTCGTTCGTCGCTGTCGTCGACGTTCCGTATTTCGCCGCAAACATAATATTATTTGAGTACCTACCAACCGATGCGCTTAAGTGTTTTTTACATTGAGTTATACAACAATAGAGGAGCAAACCACATTACCGCGCGTTGATAAAAGTGTAACCACTATCCAAACGCGATGACGTAGCTTTGAAACTAATAACAATTTTAAATAAACATATATCTATCTCACTTACATGAGTTGCGAAAACAATATTGTCGCCGTAATAATATACAAACATGCAATGGCGGGTTGGTGTGACTTACTATATGAAATTTTACCTAAAATACGCAATAAAAATGAGTTTTTTTAGGCTGCAGTTAATTGTTTTTATATTAAAAATTATATTTTATTTTTAAATATTTAATGATTACCCTTAGAAAAAAAGGATACAAAGCTTATCAGATGAATAGAAGTAAAAATAATGATGAAATAAAACATATTTTTATACGTATTTTTATTGTACTAATAAATCAAACAATATAAAATATGTAATAAAATATAATTAATATAAAATTTATATGAAATTATAATTAATATAAAATTATTAATATAAAATAGGTAAGCAAATATATTTAATAGATAATTCATGAATAAACCAAAATAAGAATAATTAATTATATTGTATGAAAGTTAAAACGTAGTTTTTATTATAATTTCCAAAATATCAAAAATCAGAGGTAACAAATTCACTTACTTCATAAATTATATAGTCTCCCATTAATGTAGAATAATCACAAATGCGGAAAAGTAGCAACATTGAACCTAAATGGCAATATTCTATAATTTTATTTAATTATTTGAGGGTTTTTACGTTTATATGAAAACAAGAACTAAAAATTATGTGTTGAAAGTGATTTCGCTTGATTTATTACGTTTTTGTGACCTTGAATAGCATTCTTTCACTACGCATTTACCCATTTTTTGTCGCGGCTCAACTCTGTCGGCGTCACATTGAACACTGAACTGACGTTAGCTATATGGTTGTGGCCATATGTGCAGTGGGAACGCTTTGGCGCGGTTATTACTGATCTAGTGTAATATATAAATCAATGGTTTTTTACTGCGAAAAGACGCTATGATTATGAAAATATAATTTTGTGGATTGATTATTGCAAATGCCTAAATTCAAGAAGAATAAACCTCAACGACGTCAAAATGCTCTAAAGATGAATGAAATTCTGTAAGTAATTTGATGTATTATGCAAAGTTCACTTACTTTTATTCCTTTAAATTCCTACGTGTTATTACATAGTTTAATTTTATTTTAGGAGGAGAAGAAAAATAACTGAATCTGACAAAAATAATTATTCAAGTTTACCAATAATTGAAAATGATAATGGGTAAGTCGGGCGCACTTTTGAGTCCATAGAGTTATGAAATTATAAACAGAATTTATTAAATTTGATGTGATATTTTTTGTGGTTACCATAATAAAAATAATATGAACCTTTTCAAATATATAGCTAAAATATGTATCTAAATGATTTATTATAAGTAATACCGTTTTGTTGTCATGCAAAATCTAATATAATTTATTCTTTATTGCAGGCTAAATATACTAATACGAACAGGTAGGCAGTAAACGACTTGAGTCAAGAAACCATATAATTACAGTATACCTGTTTTGATTCAACCGAAATGGTTGAAGATGTAGTTTTGTTTATTTGAGTAATTCTCAAATAAATTGTACGTAACAAAAATGTTGTATCGAAGTTGTTGTAACGAAATTTTAAATAAATAACGAAAATGTACCGCTTGCCGATTTGGATGAATTTTTTGTTTGCTATTGTTAGGACAAGGATTGTATGAAAAAAAAACTTCATAACCACCCATACGAATGCACAGTTATTGACTTACCATCATTTATTATTAAAATACTTTGGTGTAATCAGGCATCTCTTTTAATTGAATATAAAGTACAATCACACATTCTTAAAACATTATAAAACTTAACTGAGTTCAAGTTCAAAAATTCAAAAATAACCAAAATTAAATCTAAATTACTTTTTGTCGATTTAATCAAAATATGTATAATCTTCCATATTCATTAATTTAAATTCGTTGGGTTTTTCCCGTTTATGAAGCTGTATTTCTTTAACAATTGAAACATAAGGAACAATGTCTCTATCCGTACGTTTCGGGACAATAAATTTCATATTTTCTTTCCTGCTGACAGTTTTATAAAAAAAATTTGTGTACATGTTTGTATCAAAATCGATGTGTTTTATGACTCCAATATAGCATTTCCGAAATTTTTTTTTCATAATATCGGATTAAAACTGTTTCACCGATGAATAGTTCTCCATCCACTCTGTCTTTCACTGGTTCACCTATTTCTACACCTAAATTATTCTCAGTTCGATGTTGTAGAGCTATTACAATTTTCTTCCCTTTTATCAATGTTTACAAACTCAAGGTTCTCTGTAATTGCATCTTCATCTTCCATTTGAAATGCTTTTGCTAACTTTTCTTTTTCAATTTTTTTCTCTGACTTTCTTTTCGATTGTTTCTTATTAGTTTCTCTTTCAGTTTCAGATTTTTGACTTTCTTTCTGATTGTGTCTTATTAGCTCTACTTCATCCAAATTCTGCAACAACATATTATTTCTATGATCCTGTGGTATTTTTTGCACCTCTGGGCCAATTGTGTGCAGTTGCACCTTGGTGACTCCATACTCCACTTTTAAATTATCATCTTGATCAGAACTGTGATCCTCATTCACTACATCAACTAGTTCGGAATCACTGTAAATACTAATATTGGTTTCAACAGATGTTGACGAATTGCTTATAGATCTCGTCGACCTTCTTATGCGTTTGATTCTTTCGGTTTTTTTTTGTCAATTTCATTACGCCTCTTTGGCACATTTTGTCTTTTTTGTGTTGTTAAGATTTCAGATTTATGACGTAAGTCATGGCCCGTAGAAATATCAAAATCTTTGTTGATAGAGTTTAGTTGCAACGGCAATAAGGGAAGATCTTTGGGTGTAAGTTTGACTAAAGATAATATAGTAATCTTTTTCTTACTGTTACTTTTGGTACGATCGTCTGCTGATAGTGCCAAGCTTGACTGTGTATTTTCTTCTCTTTTCTGTTTAAGTCTCATGTTTTCTCGCTCATTTGTCTGCTGTTGCTGCACAAGATCATGCTGTTTCATGTCTTCTCCATACACACATGGCTCGTTTTCATCACAAATACAGCTCAAAGTCTTGTAGTAAATTGTATGTTTATTTTGACGGTCATAAATTATGTGGTGCAATGTCATAGTTCCCTTTACAGGAACCACAACATTAAGAATTATTTGATTCATCTGTTCAATATTTGTTTCGCTAAAATAGTGTATTTCGACATTGACATTATCTAGTAAAAAAGAATATGCTTCTTCAGCATTTGTGATGTCATGTCCATAAGATACACGCTGGTCAAGTTTCCTCTTTATTGCTCCATCAACACCGTCAGCAGGGAATGATGCTTCGAAAAAGTTCCATGTTCCTTGCTCATATCCGTAATCAGAAAGCCTTTTTGTAAATTGATAGAAATTGTGTTTTTGCCTGTATTGTGTAGTTGGACCATCACCGAATATATTGTTACGCGCTCCAGTCAACGATACACTAGCGCCATCTAGTGTCAGGAACGAGAGCGAGGGGAGCATTGAGAAAATGACATCACAAATTACTCAACCGACAGCGCCTAGTCGAAACTCGAACGCTCGGTACCTTGCGGGTGTTTACTTGAACATACTGGATATTTCTTTGCTAATTTAAATATATAGGCGCTGCAAGATGCGATCGAAGTAGTGTTGATTTGGCGAAACAAGCGAAGCTTCGGAGCGGAATAAAGTGAATAAGTGTGTTTAATTATTAGTGTTTTTAACTTTAATTTGTGTAAAGTAAATTAAAGTGTTAATTTAGGTAATTTTATCGGCAATTTTTATTGTCACGAACCGCAAGCTCGTAACAATTGGTGTCAGAAGTGGGATCAAATCATGCCGATTTTACCTAAGGAAGAAACGGAGGGTGTCCGTACCCGCAGTCAACGCCAGCATGAGACGGACCAGCGGAGATTTGGTGGTGCAACGGCGCAGATGTCGGAGGGCCAAATGCCAGCCACGGAGGCTGCGGGCCCGTCATTAGCTCCTACATCTGCAGCACCTGACTTAGGTGCTCTGATGGCGATGCTACAGGAGCAGCTGCAGCGCGGACGAGAGGAACAGGCCCGTCTGTTGAAAGAGCAGCAGGAGGAACAGGCTCGCCGACAGGAGGAACAGGCTCGCCGACAGGAGGAACAGGGCCGCCGACAGGAGGAACAGGCCCACCGACAGGAGGAACAGGTCCGTCAGTTGAAAGAGCAGCTGCAGAGCGGACGAGAGGAACAGGCCCGTCAGCAGGCGGAACAGGCTCGTCGGTCGGAAGAGCAGATGCTCCTCATGAAGGGCCTTCACGCTACCTTTGGGAAAGAGATAAGGGACGTGAAGGATAGGGTTGCTCAACACGACAACCGCCTGTCGGAAGCTGAAACCCGAATCGAAGAACATGAAACCCGAATCAACCATGTGAACAATCGGGTTGACAACGTGATGGCTGACGTGAAGAAAACGCTAAACGACCTCAAACTTGGGGATGGAACTACAGCTCCCGTAGTAGCTGCAGCACCTTCGCTACGTGGATTCAAAGTGCCGCCGTTCGACGGGACCTCTTCCTGGTCGGCCTACAAAATCCAGTTCGAGGCCGTCATGGAGGCGAACGGCTGGAATAAAAGCCAAGCCATGACTGCACTCACACTAGGCCTGCGCGACCAGGCCTTAACAGTTCTGGAAGCTCTCGGGGAAGAAGTGACTTATGAGCAACTCCTTGAGGCAATGGAGGCGAGATATGGCGACGCTCACCTGGAACATGTCTTTCGTGCGCAGCTTAAAGATCGCGTGCAGCGCATCAACGAAAACCTGCAGCAGTGGGCTCTAGAGGTGGAGAAGCTCGTGCGGAAAGCATACCGGTCTGTACCTGCGCTCATTGAAGGGAACCTGGTGCAGACATTCATCGACGGCATCCGCGACCTGGAAGTCAGAGCTGCTGTGAGGCTCGGGTACCACGAGACGCTTAAGAACACCTTGGCCCATGCACTGGAAGTGGAAGCCGTGCGGCAGGATCATCGTTCCCATCGCGTCAGGGAGGTTGCGGCAGCTACAGTTCGCGACCGCAACAAAGGATACAGCCCTAGGTGCTATGGCTGTGGGGAAAAAGGCCATCTTCGAATCAGCTGCCCTTAGCGAACCGTGGAAAGGAGAGTTGATCGATCTCGAGAGGGTTGTGCAGCTAACGACACTGCCTGGCGGCGACAGGATCATCGTTCACCTCACGCTAGGGAGGTTACAGCAGTTACGGTTCGCGACCACAATAAAAGATACAGCCCTAGGTGCTATGGCTGTGGGGAAAGGGGCCATCTTCGGTCCAGCTACCCTGAGCACACCCTACGATGGGAAGGTGAACGGTCTCAGAAAGGAAGTGCGGCTAACAGCACCGCCCAGCAGCAGCAGGAATACGACTTTACTATCAGACACTGCAGCGGGAAATCTCACGGCAACGCAGATGCATTGTCAAGAAGACCTTGTCCTGAAGATTGCAACCATTGTAGTAGGCAAGAGAGTAAGGAGGTGGTATCCGTGAGGATGCTCAGGACAGACCACCTCAGCAACGGGTAGAAGGACAACCTACGACATGCACAGCAGGAAGATCCGGACATCAAGCCGATTCTGGGATGGATGAAGGCCCGTGCTACCAAGCCTAAGTGGAGGGACGTCTCAGCGATGAGTTCAACCACAAAAAGCTATTGGGCCCAATGGGACAGCTTGCTGATTCAGGATGGAGTCCTGTGCCGTAAATGGGACAATGGTCGAAGAGACAGCTATCGTTTGCAAATGGTTGTCCCTAAAGCTAAAGTGCCGAATGTTTTACAGTTGTGCCATAATGGTCGTTCAAGAGTCCATCTGGGAGTTAAACGAACTCTACTGAAGGTCCGAGAACAGTTTTACTGGGTCCATTATCGTGACGATGTCGAGGATTGGTGTCTTACATGTACAAGTTGTGCGGCCGAGCGGGGACCTCGGACACGTAGTAGAGGAGCACCGAAATTGTACAATGTTGGTGCACCACGGGATAGGACAGCCTTGACATTGCGGAGCCGTTACAGAAAGGCGCAAGAGGGACTCCTAAGATCGTCCATGTGAATCGCTTGGCGGGTTATTATGGGGCCGATAATGCTCGGGACGAGCATGTCTTAGGAGGGGGCAGTGTTACGCGCTCCAGTCAACGATACACTAGCGCCATCTAGTGTCAGGAACGAGAGCGAGGGGAGCATTGAGAAAATGACATCAAAAATTACTCAACCGACAGCGCCTAGTCGAAACTCGAACGCTCGGTATCTTGCGCGTGTTTACTTGAACATTCTGGATATTTCTTTGCTAATTTAAATATATAGGCGCTGCAAGATGCGATCGAAGTAGTGTTGATTTGGCGAAACAAGCGAAGCTTCGGAGCGGAATAAAGTGAATAAGTGTGTTTAATTATTAGTGTTTTTAACTTTAATTTGTGTAAAGTAAATGAAGTGTTAATTTAGGTAATTTTATCGGCAATTTTTATTGTCACGAACCGCAAGCTCGTAACAATATGAATTTTCTTAATGTTCGTGTTGTTTTTGCAATACTTAAGAATACAATCTAGATGCGCCCAAATAGCGCCTGGTCCATGTTCATTCACTGGTGAGATTGAGCAAATTGGCATAGGCTTTTTATCTTTTTCATATAAAACACAGGTATGTAGTGTGATTTGGTTTCGTGATGCGCCAGAATGCACTGCTTGTATTTCTTCGGATTGCTTACAGGCATAATTTTCTGAAAAATCGCAAACTATAGCAACTTCGTCCGGTTTAAGATTTTCAATACATTTCTTGTATGCTTTGAGTTGATGTATTATATTGTAATGATGGGTTTTAAATTTATGTAAATCCCCCAGAAATTGTTCAGTAAGTGTTTGAACGGTCCCGTTAACAATTTCCTTTGTATATTTCTTTGTTGTTTTTTCCTCTATTTTATTCTTATTTACGACTGAGTATACATGTGATCTCAACCGCCACTCTAACCACTGCACTGGGGCATCACCTTTGATCTCTGAATTTATATCTGGCGTTTTATTGACACAAATAGGGCATTTCGAATACATACAATCAAAACATTCCCTGCAGGTAATTGTACGTATCAAATCATTAATATTTGATGTTTGGAGCGCATCTTGTATTTTGAGCTTTGCTGCTTTGAAACCAGTGTTAGCATGCTTAATACATGCACAAGTATTTCTATCTATAATTTTAGGTGAAATCACATAAAATGGTCGATAGCGAGCAAATATCGTGTAGGATGCCCTACCTCCTTCAGCTCTATATTTGGTATGTATTCTTTGCATTGTATCCACCAGGTATCTTAGTTGTTTCTTTTCTTTATTTTTTGTTTTGCATTCTTGTTTTCCTGCTGTTGGTCGACTTATATCATCCCTGTTAAAAAATCTTTGAATCTCCCTCATGTATTTGCCCCTGATAATTTTAGTCGATTCTGTCATCCTTAATTTGCCTGTAAGTCTAAGACTGTGTGACATTTTTGCTTTTACTTTATATTTTTTATTGTCGTTCCAAGAGCTACTTGTTTAAGAACTCTTTTCTTTTCTCCTGTATCAGCTTTTTTGTATTGTTCTTTTAATGAGTCTTTCAATGTGTTCAGTACTAGGAGTTTCTTTTTGACTTTCTCTTTTTCTTCTTTAGAGATTGATGGTATTTCATCTAAAAACTTATTCGTTTTCATCATTGGAGTTTCTTTGGTAGGAGTGACAACCTCAGGTTTGTCAACTGTTGTAGTTGTCTGTGCTAGATACAGCTGGGATACTATTTGTTGTTTCAGATCTGCTATTTCGGCTTTGTAACGGTACAGCTTCAAATTTTAATTTTTTTCTTTTTAACTCTTCATTTTCTGCTTTTAGTTCTTGTATTTTATCTATTGTCTGCTTTTTAGTGACGTTTTCGAGTTCTTGTATTTTATCTTTTGTCTGCTTTTTAGTAACGTTTTCAGAAATAAATTGAGCTACATACGCGACATTGGTAGACATTTTGGATTCTCTTCTATTATTTTGCTTTGCTCTTCTATCGTTTGCCTCTTTCCATTTTTTGCGCCGAAGGTTTCGCTCTTCTTCTGTTAATTCTGCAATTGTTTCGTATATTTTTTTTCACTTTTTCAAGATGTTTAATCCTAAGTTCTTCATGTCTCTCCGGATTTTGGGTTTTCAAGCGGTCCCTGTAACGCTTTTACCTTTCGGAGTTGGTAAGTGGCATGTCTGCAAAAAAGTAAACTTTAAAAGACGTGCAGATATTAATTATTATACCATTTATTATAATGTAAAGTAATAAGCCACCGTGGGTGATAAATGAGGCAAACACATTTTTTTTACTATAATCTTTGTGTGTACAACAATTTATAGTTAGTGAGGAAATTGGAGACAAACACAAGCCAAAAACATCTTACTATCGTTATTCTACTGTGCATGTAGCTATATAGTAAAAAATTTCGTTACGTAACGAAATGTAACTAAGTTGTACGCAAAACTAACTTCAAAAATGTTTTTCATGACAACAAAATAATCTGTAGCACGAAAACATGAATAAATCACAAGATAAATGTAAAAACAACGACATATTTAACTGAGATATACATTTTGAAACAACTTACCGGCAAAAAATAAAGTTTCTTGTCAGAATAACAAAATTGTACTGAAGTTTAAAGCTGCGACTTTCACACATCAAGGCGTTCACTCGCGTCTAAATACGCCATGACAGTTTCGTTATCCACCAATCAGAATAGAGTCAATGCTGCCAACTGAATGGCATAAGTTGCGTTCAATAATCTTGAGAAATCATTGTAAAATAACGTTACGAAAATGTTTGTTACCAAATTGTAAGAAATTTGTGACAAGTAAATAACTATTAATTTGTATTACAAATTTAGGAGATATAGTCCCTATTAGTAAAGATAATAAAATAGAACATGAATCCGTTGAGTTAAAAATGTGTAAATAAATCCATATCTACAAAAAAAAACTATAAATCAAGTCGAAACCTATTAAAGACATAGAGTGACATGATTATTTTTTGTATTGACAACGAAATCAAGGTTTTATTAAACATAACACTGGGCGTTTATTATATACAATAGAGCTAATGCACTATCTATTCTGAAATAATAAGAATATCTCCTGATAGATGAAATATAACATTTCAAAAATAAACAAGAAAATATATTTATTTTTTAAATATAAAAATTGCGACAAGATTTTTTCTCGATTTTACAATTTATTAGAGAATTACTCATTTAATTTTTTGGTTTGTAGGTATTATGGTGCACAGATGTGTACTTACCTAATCAAAATACTTTAGTAGGTATTGTGATTGGGTACACACACATGTGCTTGTGATTAGGTAAAAGATATCTAAGTAAGTACTGTAAAATGCCATAATTTGACTTACCTGGCCTTACTTTGCCTAAACCGATCATTTGAATTTCATTAGTAGGCTATTCGAGCTAGAGTTAAAGTTAAAGTTATAGCTTATATACGTCCCACTCCTGGGCACAGGCCTCCGCTCATTTCAGAAAGGGTCCTAGGAAAGGAATTGTCCACCGCGTTGCCCCAATGCGTGTTGGCAAACTTCGTATGTCTTCGAAATATTTTTTTTCTTATTTCTCAGACATGCAGGTTTCCTCACAATGTTTTCCTTCACCACTGAGGACGTGGTAAATCAACACTTAAAATTGCAATTACAATTTCATTGGTGCCGGCGGAAATCGATTCCGGGTTGCTCACGCACTGTGAAAATTTCAGCAAGCGCTAACCATCTGAGCTACCACGGCTCCTCTCCTCTCGAGCGACTTTATTTTATTTATGGTACGATTTTTGTCGCGTGTCAGCGCTTACTTTTGGTTCTGGCAAAAAAGTTGTGAAACGTCTGTGAACGTCAGAATTGTGCAAATATTGGTCGCAGATATTTTACCTGCACTTCAAAATTTTATTGTGTGAGTATTATAAACTATTTTTACGGATTTGATGAACCATATTAAATAAAAAATAGTCTCCTATCTTTCTCTCTATGTTTTGATCTTCTTAAACGAGTTTCAGTTGGTAAAATCAAGGCAAACTTAGGGTAGGGTTGTCAATTATTATTTTGATAATAAAACTAGTGAAATTCCGCGGTTTTATATGCGCAAGCGTGAACGTAGTATAATATTATAACCTTTATGTGTTACATAAATATCATAAAAAAACTTATTATTTTAATATGTTACTATAAGGTTAACAAGTTTATTGCATTTTTATTTGAGTAATTTTTTATGCAATTTCTTTATATGGGTCTATTTTAGGAACATTTATTTAGTCTGAATCATAAATAACACTATATTACTGATTTACTTACTTATACGAAGTTTTCTTTTTTGCAGTTACAAATATCTTGTGAGGTTGAAAAAGGCAGTAATGAAAAAATAATAAGAAGAATAATAATTGACGTCAGCCACTTCTTTTCATAAAAATTTCAAATCATGGTCCATTAGGTTGCAGCTTCACTGAACCACAACTTATCGGAGAAACACAAAAGGCTTAGAGTCAAAATTTACGTTTAAATGCCAATTACGTAACCAAAAATTTGTAATAGTAAACGATGATTGTAGTAAAAATTATTTATCATTAAATGAACGTGCAGTCGCAGGTATGATTGAAATAGGCGCGGGAAATTATATATATATATACCCAATTATTGAAAAAATGGAAAGTGTTTCCATAGAAAATAAAATAAAATAAAATTTTGATTGTAGGACTGTCAAATGTGAAGAACTGTACACAGTGATGGAAAAGCTTGCACGTCTCTAACCAGCTCCGGTCAATCGCTCGTCCCCGTATGACCTCATACCGCATAACAGACGGTACCAAGTTACAAGAGCTGGGGTAGGAAGCTCTCCGTCATTGGTCGTACTGACTAGCTCTTGCGCCAACAGACTTCCGTTCTTTACCCGTGCAGTTGATTTCTTCAAGAACGGTATCAATAAACTATTACTGCGTTGGCAAAGATGCATCGATTGTATGGGTGATTAATTTGAATATCAAATTAAATTTCGTTCGCTAGGGGTATAGCCTTAACATTAGCATGTCGGTGACGCACACTCGTAAGATTTTAAACATCCAATAATCTCCTAACGCGTCTAAAGAAGCTTTCACAGAAAAAAAATTGCTATATGTCCAATAAGCTAATCAAAGGCTAAATTGATGTATGAGTGCCGTGTAGAGTTTACAGATAGAGTGATCACTCTCCGTACGACATCCCAGTTTTCTCTTAAAGCTAATTGATCGCTTAAATAAGGTTTTAGTCGTTTGTTTATACAAAATGCATTAGCTAATAAACCAAGTAAGAAATTCAAACGAACAACTAGTTAAGGCGGTTATAGTCACATTTGTAGCAGAGGACAGTTCGCGCGGCGAGGTAGTTAGTACCTGGACTACGTGATTGTTTTTTTCACGGCGGTTTTCCGAAACAACCGAGCATTTGATAAATCACTCTTTAATATTTGACACAACGAACTTGACGCTAACCTCCCACAGGCCTAGACTGTTAATTTTAAATTATAGTACTAACAACGCTATTTGGTAATACTCACTAATCTCAATTACTGATACCCGTGTCTACAAGTAAGTTTAAAATTCTTGTATTAGATGTGGTTTAAAACTGCAGTCAAATAATGGATTCAAACTCATAACTTTTTAAGTATGCAGTTTGTTCCCTTCAATAATAGATTTTCCAGAAAACCAGTATCTATACAAATATAAAAAATAAAAATTGAAGTGTCTGTTTGCAGTGTCAACTTATTAAAAAAAAAAAACAATTTTAAAAATTTTTGTTCATCTTTCTGTCTGTCTGTCTGTTTCTTTCTCCAAGATAATCTTGTAAATAGCTACACTGATTTTGACAGGACTTTCATTAGCAGAAAGGTAATGTTGTAAGGAGTAACTTGGACTGCTTTTATTTTAGATAAAAAATTAAGGTTCTGCGAAAAAAATCAAAATCCTTAAAATCCATTTGTAATAAATTCCACGTGGACGAAGTCACAGGTCACATCTAGTCTAGTAATAAATAAAAACGTAGCATTGATCACGGATCACGTTAAAGTCGTTCGACTGTGTTCGAACAGAGTAGCCGTTCAAGAGGTAGCTCCATTTGTCTTCATCTCGTGTCAGGTTAAGCGAGGCGTTTCTACTGTAACGCTGTAATAAAATCTATACAATTGTATGACATTCCATACAGCAAGGATCATCGACAAAGACAAAAGGCAGATAAAAGAGAGAATAGTACCGCCTTTAAAATATATTGGTATTAACTCTTAGGTAAATTTCTTGGTCTGTCAGTAATATATTAACGAATATTTAACATTTGTGCTTAAAAAAATTATTTTAATAAAAATAATAGGTATTCATTCATACAAACAAAAAACAAAATTCAACACCGCAGACGGTATTTCAATCATGAGGCAAAAAAAATTTTACAACAAAGCCAAAAACAATATAAAGTATATCCCCAAAATTCAAAATGCTTACTAAACACACAAGGTTATACAAAGGAGTTATTATAATGATAATGAATATAAAATAGTTTGGAAAATACAAAAATACACGCCTCTTGAGCGTTTTTATTTTTAGAAAAATTTATTCAGAATTATTTATTTAATTTTGTTGCGTACATTTTTCTAAACATGACGAAGACAAACAAATGCACAGACTACCTGACATCCGTTCGAATCATTTAACGATATCTTTTTAAATACGACTAAACAAATGAATAAAAAACACACTGACTTTATAACTTAATATATCTAATTTTCAAAATATCGTTTTTTATTGATTTAGCATCTAAATAGAGACATATTAACAGTTTTGCATTGCAGAATCGTCACATGTCAGCCTGCAATCCTTGAGGAAAACTCTAAGGAATGAGGGGACCGGAACCAAATAGTTTCTAAAATGGTTTTGGTAATTAATTGTACAGAGTTTATTCGACATCTTCTGCATCAAACTGT